GATGCCTCTTGGGGTGGAGCCTGAGGCACAAAGTTTCCCCATCTCTGCCAAAGTCCTATGGTCCAGAAAACAGGGGAGCTACCCACCTTTCAGGGACAACATGGACTTGGACACCATACCACTCCTGGAACTCTCTCAATCTTTTAGACTTCATAAACCTTCTAGGGGCTGGAGCACAGAGAAAGAAAGCTGCTGTAAATATGGAATTTGAATTCTACACTCTTTTCCCCTTGCACTTGGTGGTTTGGAATCAGACTTAATTTAATTTGATTTAGAAAATGAAGTAATGTAATAAGCCAAGTGTGGTAGAATCAAATTGTACCAGATACAACTATTCACATGAAAGCTAAGTGTTGGCTTGGAATGAATGACCACATATAAGCTTGGGGAGTTATCTGTGAGAATCTGTCCAATTGCTTTCTCCATCTTTGCTTTTTCCCTTTGTCAAACCCCCCATGCTAGAGTATTTTCAACATGTTCTCAAGTACTATCTTCTAGGTCTAAAGGGCCCCTGATGAAGGCCACTGGGGACTGTGCCCAGACCAAAGAAGTAGAAAGAAGGAAAAGGGATACGAGGAAAAAAGAAATGTAAATGAAGGGAAAGAAGGGAGGAGAGAAAGAACAAATTATCTGAAGCAATTGTGACCCTGTACACAGACAGAGTAGATGCACTGGTACACCAGATGTTCTCAAGCCAAGTATTCAGGGTATTCTCCTTTTCCTATTTTATCCATTTCTCTTCTCCTTTACTTCTCATTTGGTCAGCGTTGCTCATCCAACACTTTAGAATCCTCATTCCTAAGTCTACCTGGCTTGGGAGGGGACCACTGTGAAAGCAGCAGAGGTAGAACCTCACCCAGACCTGAGTTTCTAATCTGGCTTTGACAACTTTGGTATCATGTCTTGGGTACTGATCCTCAAGACTCTCAGACTGTGGGAGTGATGATATGGATCAAGGTGTTTGATTGCCTGTGGTTTGTGGTGTGCTGCTTGTGCCGGGAACCCCCTGTGCAAAGGTACAAGCTAAGATTGCCCAGTTGCTGACCCAAGGAAACTGTACAAAGGCTCAGAATTATCAATCTTCACCTTGAAACTCAAGTTAACACTAGCTAAGTTAACACTAGCTCCCAGGGATAGAGGATTCTGAGCATAGCAAGATAACCATAATGTCTCCCTATAATATCTGACTCTGGAGGTCAGGAGTGGATGTGACAAAGGGTCCCAGGTGATGCTAATGTTTCTGGTGCAGGAACCACATTTTTAAAAGAATGACTAGACTTGTCTGCCAAAATGATTTGTTTAATGTCCGGCTTTTATAATTCCACTTTGCTTAAAAATCCTTTGGGGGTTACCTATAAGACAGATTCTGACGTGTCAACTGTAAGAATGATGTGGTCACATTTCTTTGTTTAGTGACTAGGAGGAAGGCCCCTGCTCCCTACCCACTCCTCTTAGGGTACCTTCTTGAAGAAACTGTAGGTCAATAAAACCTTTTGATTTTATAAATCAAAGTCTCTTTGGATCCTTGGATCCATAAACACTTTCCTCTGGAATGAGCTTGGGGGTCTCTAGGTACACAGGAGGAAGGCCTAGGGTGCACAGTTTGTCTCCTAAGGAGACAAGAGAAGTTGTGATTGTTCTGCATTCCACTGTACTACACACATTTGTGTGGAATTCTGTCCACACTTTGTAGATACTTTCATGCCACCTCTATATGCATGTAAATCTCTAATGCTTCTTCACTGGCCAATTACATTCCCTGTCTTCTGCCCTCATACACTGGTACAAAGTTTCTTTGTTGTTGTTGGCAGGATTGTTCATTTCCTGAACCACCTTACTCTCCTCTGAGAACCACACTGCTCTCAGAGAAGTGGATCCCTGCTGTCTAAGCTCATACAATTAGATTCTGTATCCCAGGATCTTGGGGTAGGGAAACAGGGGCGGGAAGGAGATACAGATATGCGGAGAGAAGCAGGGGTGTTCTTGTGGATCCTCCATCTGGGGACCAGTTCCAGGGAGTTCCAGCTGCACTTCCCTCCTTGGGTTCTGCAAGCTACCCTACTTCCTGTCCAAATCCCCTTTTCTACTTAAGCAAATTGAGCTTGGATTTCTGCTAATTGCAACCAAAATAACCTGCACTGAGATATTCCCCGCTGACTCATGATGAAGTCCAGATTCCTAAACACAGTAGTATAGTCCTTCACAATCTGGTGCCTGCTTATTCACCACCTTTTCCTCAACACCTTCAACTTCTACTCTTGTAAGGGTCCAGCGAACGTTGGAGGAAGAGACCACCGACTCATGCAACAGCAAAAGGGGATTTATTGAGGATCCGATCCAGCGCACTGGGGCTCCAGGCTCACTCAAGAAGGGAGAGTGGCCAAGAGCTCCGAGCAGGGGTTGAGCAGTGCTTAAGTACACTTTTTGGGGAGGGCAGGAACTTTACATACGTCATGGTCCCCTTTAACAAATCATCATACACCGCGGGAAAATCAAACAACAATTCCTGAACATGATTAGTACATTCATTGGCGGGAACAGGTCAGGCGGGGGTGATAGGTCACTCCTAAGAAGGGGGGTACATTCAAACTGATTGATTTGGGCCCTGAATGCCTACGTGCCAAACTGCACAGGGTCCAGGTTATGTAACAACTAAATGGTCAGTACCGGGCATTGTCTTAATTGCCTCAGGAATTTCAGGTTCTGTGTGCAGTTCAGAAACTTTACAATACCTAGTCCTTTACATTTTAACTCAGGCTTTGCAGCTTAGAAACTTTACCCTTTCACTCTGTGTTTCAACCAAACCAAAATGCGTTTTAGTTTTTTTCTACTTTTCTGACCCTGGATACCGTGTGTTTTCTCAGTTTGTAATGCCTCTGCCTATTTGGCTTTATCAGTGTTGATGTGTCATTTCCTGAAGGAAATACTCCCAGAGGCACAGTTTCTTCTCCACATTCTCCCTGTTGTCCTAGCACAAACATATGAAATAATAATTACCCGTTGGCTTGTCTTTCTTCCTCCCTAGATTGTGAGCTCTGTGAGGGTAAGGGGTGAGTCTCAATCACTGTTGTATCTGAGTGTCCAACTCCATGTCGCATCCTCGGTGGCACCTAGTAAATACTTGTTGAATGAAGGAATCCTGTGCCTTCTTTATCATCAGTCACCTGCCCCAGCTATAGACCAAGTTGAATGGGAAAGATGAAAATCACTTTGGCCTCAAGCTATAGATTATGATTTGGAAACACTCCTGAGGTCAAGAATCAGCTATCTCCATGGTTTGGGAATATTCTATTACTTTCACTGGATCTTTTTTCCTCCTTATTTAATGATTGTGCCAGAATTTCTAATTAGAGAAAAGACCTCAGGCATTTATTGATTCAAATGTGCTGCATCACTAGGGAGATTTTGAGAATAAAACTAGAATTTAGCATATCAGAAATTCAATCCATCTGAGATCTCTCATAGAGGTTTGCCCTTGGGTCATTTAGCAGAGACTTTCATAGTCACTGCACACTGTTGTCATGGTAATCATGGAACCTTTCATGATTTTCCTACTCTAAGTTAATGAAGATACTGGAAAGAGCCCAAAGGAATTCATACTTGGGTGTGCATTTGTCTCCATATTAACCCAATCATTGTTTTGAACACACATCTGCCCCAGGGCCTTTCCTCTTGGCTCTTGGTCCTGACAGGAATAAATAAACAACTGATTCCTTTTTAGTATTTCAGCCTAGGAGGCTGCCCTTTTGGCCTCATTTCAACAGGAAATCCCACATGGAGGGTTTAAAGGAGAAGAAGAAAAAAAAGGGTGGTGTGTGAAGCAAAGATCGCTCTTTCTTTTCAAATGACTAACGTTGCTGATTTCAAAGCACTTGAATTTAAATGTCTCTAAAGAAAGTTTCCGTTGTGAGAGCATAGAACCTTGACAGTATCTAAAACCTCTATTTTATGGCCCTTTATAAACACACCTTAACTCAAGCCGCCATTGAGCCCACAAATTTGGATCCAGATATCCCAGTGTGCTCACAACATGTGAGTGTGAGATTTTCCATCTGTGTCCCATCCTGCTCATTATTTCTCAGTATCCATTCTTCCTTTTTTTTCCCTGCTGGTACTAAAAGTCCTTACTTTTAGGGAGATATGTGGATGTTTGAAATCAAGGCGTTTCCCTCTCTCCCTTACTGCTGGCCAATGGTATTTAAGGATAAGTGTTATACATTCAACTTTCTGGACATCTCTGAGAAGGAGTTATTCTCCTCCTCATGTCTTATTAAGTGGAGAAGTGGATGGAGTGGAGACGGCCATCTTGGGTAATGAACTGGAATCCATGTTGAGAAGGGCAGAATGACCAGACAGGGGTCTGGGTCCCTGGAGATTGTGGAGCGTCCATAAAAGCACAGACTCTGTTACAGGAAACAGAAAGAAACTAAAGAAATTTCAGTCTTATGTATGTGCCAATTGTTTTTTTTTTAACTTTCTGCCATCTAATCTTAATTGATACATCACCGAAAAGGGAAATTTATTTTTCCTCCTTCCACTGACTGAGTGTGAAATCCTTTGGGCTTTTCTGTGACATTTACCTTCTGATCACAGGGCATGCTCCAGGGTGGGCAGATTTACTGGACTTTTTTTGCACTAGCTGGACTGAATTTTCTAGCATGGGGAATTGAAACAGAGGTTGATGGCAGGGAAATACTTAGTCCAGCTTCACCATAGAACCATGGTGTTGCCTGGTGTGCATTTTAAAATTTTCTGGTCAGTGAAACTACATTCCTGTTACCTTAAAAACAGGTCTCATGTCAAATGCCCTTTGGAACGGGGTACATGATGAGTAAGACTCATCATTGTTCAGTCTGAATGCAAAGCAACCTGAGATGGAGAGCAAAAGCCAAACAGAACCAAAACAAAAACCACCTTCCACATTCTCTAAAGCAAGTGTAACAACCCTCCACATGTGAGACAGATGCCTCATACCAGTGAGGAGTGATGATTTTACTTACTGAACTTGGGCCTTTTAATCTTCTTTGTCATTTCTTTATTGGAATGTATTCCAGTCACCAGCAAAACTATGTGAAGAAAATAAAAAGTGTTTAAAAATCTGATTACTATTATTTCACCTGAATGTTTATTCTCTTTTGGTTCTTACATTTGGTTGGATAATGCACAAAGCATTCTCACTGATGGAACTATTTCCCCATATATTAAGATTAGGGAAATGAGATACATAGTTTGTGTACTTTTCTTAGCCCCTGCTGAGAAAAAAAACCAAAAACGCCTCCTGGATACTTGTCCTGTGTTTTGATGCCTTTAAATTTCACTATCCCAGTTCTACAGTTTCCATTTTCAAAGGAGGGAATGTGGGTCTGGAGAAGTCTCCTAATTTGCCTGGTCCCAGGAATGAAGGATAGGGGTAGAAGCACTTGTACCCTTCTTGTTATCTTTTGCTCTGTTCCACAGCGAGTTTCCAAATGACCCATTTCCAGACTACACATGCAGTGTGCATGTGTGTGTTTCTGTGTCCACACAAATGTGTGTTTGTATGTGTGTGTGCCTGCAAGTAACTGAGGTAGGATTGAATTGAGGAGAGATGTAAGAAGCCTCAGGAGACAGGCTGTCTGGGAAAAAAAAAAAGAGGAGAAAGAGGTTGGGAGAAGAGGGGAGACTAGACACAAAGTCTGGGGAGTCCCCTGATGGCCCCCTGGTCATCTACTCTAGAAGCCCTGGTTCTGTGTCTTCCTGAAATATAGGAGAGAGCTCAGATAGCATTGGGGCCTTGATCTCCTTCAGAAAGTACAGCAGTAGGTGAAGTAGGGGGAATTCTTCATCCTTTTAACTTTCAGGTCAGATTCCTGGTTTCTTTTCAAGCATATAAGATGAACTTGAGTCTTGTATTTTTTAAAAATAATGTTGACTGCTTTTATTCTTATTACAAAAATAATATACACTCCTTGTAGAAAAATGTAAAAGGCACAAAAACTAGTGCAGAACTCCAAAGTATGTATTTTCAGACTTTCTTTCTCTCCCCTCATATCTATATCTACATATATTCATACAGATACTTTCAAATATACATTTGATCACACTCATACTATTTTTAATATTTATAACTTATTTCAACTTCAGGATATTTATCAACATTTTTTTTTCTTGTCATTAAATTTTCTTCCCACAGTCATTTTAAGTGCTTGCAAAGTATTGCACTATAAGGATGTAGCATCATTTAGCCAATTTTCACTTAATAAAAGTAACTTTAGTTTTGCACAGATTTATTATTATTTCCTTAAAATTAATTTCCTGTGTGAGATTCATGCTCACCTAAAATTTTGGTACGTATTGCAGCCATTTCTCATGGCAATTTTGTATTCACAGTGTGTGAACATGCTCATTTTGCCATTGCTGCACTGATTCTAACTGTAGACAGAAAGCATTGCTGTTCCAGAATGCTGGTCACTTCTCTTCTCCTCTTTCTCTCTCTCTTGGCATTCCTCCATCTCACTACCCAGGATGGCTCTGTTTTCACTTACCTCCGTTTTAGCTACATTTCAGAGAAACTCACTTTCTGAGTTGGGACTCAAGATGAATGTGGGAAAATAGAAGAATCAAAATAGGCACTTGACTTCCTAGCCTGTGTGTTGCTTTTTAACAGAACACTGATGCTCAATTTTGGCATAAAGGGACATAGGGGATCTCCAATTGGCAGCCAGTTTTGAAGGAAAAGATGGTAATGTCACCAAGTGTTTAAGAAAACCTTGTGCTTATATTTTAATTGTCTAGCTGCTATAGAATGAAAGTTTGTGTCCTTCCAAATTCATATGTTGACATCCTAAATCCCAAAGGGATGGCGTTAGACGATGAGTCTTTGGAAGGTGATTGGGTCTGTCATGAATGGAATGAGTGTTCTCATAAAAAAGGTTCTAGGGCTGAGGATGCATCTCAGGGATAGAGCACTTGCCTAGTATGCACAAGGGCCTGGGTTCAATCCCCAGCTCCACAAAAATAAAAAAAAAGAGAACAAAACAACAACAACAAATCCAAGAGGCTCCAGGACAATTTCTTGTCTCTTCCATCACGTAAGAAACATGATGAGAATGTGGCTGTCCATGCCAGGAAACTGGCCTTCAGCAAACACTGAATCTGTTAGTGCCTTAACTTGGCCTTCTCAACCTCCAGAATTTTGAGAAGGAAATTTCTGTTTTCATAAGCCACCTAGTCCATGACAGTTCGTTACAGCAATCTGAACAGACTAAGACACTAGCTAATCTGTGTCAATGATGCAGCCACCAAATGATCCCGTTTTGTCCATGAGCTCTACTTGTATTGTGGACAGTTGATGTACCATGTGCTACAAGAACAGTACCATGAAAGAGAACTGAGTGGGCATCAGAAGTCTAGCCAAGAAGGAGGAAGGCGGACATTTTTTAGGTGTTATTTACTTCTGCGGTTTGGTTGGGTGTGAATGTCCTTTTTATAGTAGTTTCTGCACCGTTTAACTCTGTATAAAGACTATATTTTTATTTTATGTGCAAAAATAAATATCTAGAATATTTTTTAAACAAGCACCAAATAAGTATATAAAAAAATTAAGCAAGTGAAATAATAAATTTGTATATAAGTTCTCAGAGAAAACCAAATACTGTCCTTCTGGGCCTTGTGGCTTTGACAAGTGGTTTATAATCTCTGGTATCACTAGAACGATAATATTTCAGCAAGACCACCCCATCATTTGTTTGGTCACCCAGACCCTCCAGGCATGCATGGCTGGTTCAGTTTAACAGTAGTGGCTAATAAAGTCACAATTGTCATTGGTACACACGGGCTGTCCCTTCAGTTTATGTGCTTGTTAATTAAAGCTCCCCAGAAACCACTCCTCCAAGAGAGGGCTGGTCAATAAGGCCTGCAAATGTGCTTGTGCTTTGGAGCAAATCTTCATTTATCATCAGCAAGACTTCTCTTGCTACACTGGATATAGTGAATTGCATGTTGAACGTGGGTGAGAGAAACATCCGTCTTCTATTTGTTTTCCTAGGAAGCCTGGCAGAGCCCCAAGACGGATGGTGCCCACTTCCACGAGCGTGGTGGCAGATGGTTCTGCAAGTCAGCCCCGTTTGTAAGAGTAGTTAATTATCTGGCCATTTGTGTCTACAAACCTTGTGGAAATTAATTCCAGAATCCAAAGTTCCAAGGCAAACATGATTACCAGCTCTGTACCAATGCTTCTCCATTTTTTAAAATCTGGCGTTCAGTTTTAAATAACCTAAAAAATTCTCAGTTCTCTTTGGTACTGCTTACAATTTCAAGGAAATTAAATATTAAAAGTAATTTTTGTAATAAAAATTTTCTACTACTTCCCCCTTTCTCTTTTGTAATAGTAAGGACAGTTATATTAAGTGCAACTGTTTTTAAATCAATGTAAAAAAACTGATCACATAATTTATAAGTGGAGAAAATACAAATGAATAAACTTGAAACAATGTTCAATCTCATTAATGATAAAAAAAATGCAATGGAAACAAAATGTTTTAGGGAATGTTTTCCTATTTCATGTCAGTAAATATGGAACACAAGATTAAACTTAAGTTTGGCAGGGATTTGGGGTTAGTGAATTTTGTGTGCTGTTCATGAAATCTAAGCAGGTGGAGCCATCCTGGAAAGCAATTTGATAAAAGGTTTCAAGAGTCTTAATTTTTATATTCTTTAACTGAGACAATAACACTCCTAGGAATATATCCCAAGTTACAATCATTAATATAGACAAAGATTTATGTAAAAAGTACTCATTATAGCGTTTCTAATGGCAATCTGGAAATAATGAAATGTTGGAAATGCCCCAACAATAGGGAAATCCTAAGCATTTATTACAAATGATGTGTAGAAGAACATTAAATTATCTGTGAAGTGTTCTACTCTAATCTTAAGAATAATTCTGACAAAGTTAAAATATATGCAGAGAAGTAACTGGAACAAGTACCAAAATGTTAACAATAATGGGATTAGGGTTTCTATTTTTATATTTTTTCCCTTTTATATTATATTCTTTATAAATAAAATATATAGTTTATATAGAACATTTCTTTTATCATTAAAAACAGGCAACATTGCTAAATTATGTTTACATTTGCTTATATTGAAATCATATAGGCTTACAATAATGAAAAGTGCTTTCTAAAGTTATCAGTATGATTAATCTGTGCTTATTATTTTTAGTTTTCCTGTCAGTAATAAATTATAATCCATTTTCCAGGGAAGACATGAAGTGCCAGAACATCTAACCAATAATCAAATCGATAAGTACTTACTGAATACTTATGTACCTAGACTTTTACAGAAATGTCTCCTTCTAGCCCAGAAACTTCTTATTGGATATTTTTTTAACTCCTCAATATACTAATACAGGTAGTGTCCACAATGTTTTCTGGAAAACTGATTTGTAAAGCAGATCTTTTTAAAGCAGTTAAAAACTTCCCTAATAACTTAATTTGGGATTATGTACTTATTGGAACATTTAGCATCAAATAAATCAGAGCAAAGATATGACTGTTTATTTTCTACACCCACATAAAACTTAAACTTATCCAGAATATTAAACCCAGGAGAAGCTTTAGAGATCATCTCTTTATTTTATGGAAAGTAAACTAAAGTCAAGGTTAACACTTTTCCTAAATCTGTAGTTATCTGGGGCCAGAAGTTGTAACTAGAACTCAAATTTGCTAACAACAGCCTTCGTCTCTTTATTCCACTTGCTCCTGGTAAGCTTACACATTGATTTTACAAGGGACTTCAAAGACAACGAGTAGCGAACAGGCTAAAATTTCTGTGGTGCATTTAAAGACATGTAAAACAAACGTGCTTATTTTGAAATATATTAATTAAACAACTATTGTTAATTGAACAATTTGGGGAGGGGGAATCATTGGATGGCTCTGATACCTTGAAAATCTAGCGTGGCTAAGAACAATCACCTGTGGAGCAAAACTTATTCTGTACCTATGATATGTGTGGAGCACTGGAGATACCACAGTAAGACACAGCTCCTGTCCTCAACGGGTTTACGGTGTTTGGAGGGTCAGGCTAATGGCAAGGCAAATACAGTGCAGCCGTGATGAGAACATAGGGGTGGAGGAAGCGCGTAGGAAGATGGCCCCACATAATGGGGCCGAGGGAATCTTCTTGGAGGACCAGAGTCTTGGGAGGATGTGGGGATGTAGGAATGGAGGAGAAGCATACCTGAAAAGGGAACAGCATGTTCAAAGGCCTATAAGATGAGAATGATGCAGCCCCCAGGGAGATTAGGAGTTCAGTGCCAGGGAGGGGCTGGTGAGAGAGGAGAGCAGAGGAGGACAGTGAGAGCCACCACAGGAAGGCCTGACCAGCAAGGCACTTCCAGAAACCTGGACTCCATCCTAAAGACCAAAACTCTGAGGAGTTTAAATCAAGAGAGTGGTGATCAGACCTGGACTTTAGGGAGAGGAACACACCTGTCCTGGAGAATGAGTTGGAGGTGTAAGGATCTGGATCAGGGAAGCAGTCATAGTACCTACCAGGGGTGGAAGTCACGAGGGACTCCAGGAAATGGCCCTGACCAGTGGGCTGAGGAGGGAGTTGCCCAGGATGCAGACCTTGGAGGACGTAGAGACATCTGTGAACAGGAGTTGCCTTTGTTTTTTTCCATCAATGGAGTTATTCATCCTTTCCTACCCAGCTTTATTAAGGTGTCATTGACAAAAAATTGTGGTGTACTGTCTGATGTCTTGACACACACACATCTCGTGACGTGATTAAATCCAGCTGATTCACCTCTCCATCACTTCACATGCATACTTTTGTGTGTGTGGTGAGAACATTTCAGATCTGCTTTCTTAGCTAACCATGCTGTACCGTAGACTCCTTAATGTTTTGGCTCATAATTGACAAACACTTCCCCATTTCTCCATTCTCCTGGGCCCTGACAACCTGCGTTCTACTCTTTTTCTATGAGTTTGACTTTTTTAGATTCTGAATGTGATATGGTACTTGCCTTTCTGTGTCTGACTTATTTCACTGAGTATAATGTCTCCAATTTCATTCATGTCACAAATCAGACACAGGCTGTAGGAAGATTAATACCATGATCAGGAGGCAGTATTTCCTCATTTTTTAAGGCTGAATAATATTCCATTTTATTTATATATTCATCCATCAATGGACTGTTGATTCCATATTTTGGCTATCTTGAATAATGATGCAGTAATAAAGAAGTGAAGATATACTTTCAACATATAGATTTTGCTTCTTTCGAATGTATACTCAGAAGTAGGATTGCTGGGTTATATAGTAGTTCTATCTTTAATTTAATTTGATATAAAACTCTTTTTCATTTATCTGTTGACCACTAATATATCTTCTTTTGAGAAATGTCTATTCAGGGCCTTTGCCTACTTTTAAAATTAGGTTGTTTTCTGCTAAGTTGTATGAGAGTGTGAGATCCTTCTATATTTTGGATAATAATCCTTTCTCAGGTGTTATGTTTTAAAAATATTTTCTCCTATTCCACAGGTCGTCTTCACCCTCTGTTGACTGTTTCCTTTGCTATGCAGAAACTTTTTAAGTTTATGTGATCCCATATATTAGTTTTACTTTTATTGCCTTTTCTTTTAGGGTCATGTTAAAAAAAATCACTGTACAGAAATATCTAAAAGATTTTTTACTTTGCTTTTAGTAGTTTTATAGTTTTAGGCCTTATATTTAAGTCTTTAGTCAGTTTTGATTTTTTTTAATATGAGAATCTAATTTCATTCTTTTGAGTGTCTTATTTTCCCCAATACTGTTTATTCAAGGGAAATTCTTTTCCTAGTGTGTTCTTGGCATCCTTCCTAAAAATCAATTGACTAGAAATGCATAAATTTATTTCTGGGCTGTCTATTCTGTTCCACTGGTTTAGATGTCTTTTTTTTTTTTAATTGCCAGTACCATGCTGTTTTAATTTGTATAGATTTAAAGTGTATTTTGAAATCAGGCACTGTGATGCCTTCAGTTTTGTTCTTTTTGTTCAGAATTGCTTTGTGTATTTGAGATCTTTTGTGGTTTCAACAAATTTGAGGATTTTTTTTCTATTTCTGGGAAAAATACCATTAGAATTTTTATAGAGATTTTTATCAAATCTGTAGATTACTTAGGATAATATGGACATTTTAACAATGTTGAGTCTTCCAATCCATGAACATGGGATATCTTTCTATTAATCTTCATTTTTTTCATTAATGCTGTGCAGTTTTTGATGTACAGATCTTTTACTTTCAGAGTTAAATTTATTCTGAAGATTATTTTTTTGCTTGATGATATTGTAAATGAAATTTTTTTTAAAGATACATTATTGTTTGTATTTAGAGGTGCTACTTATTTTTGTGTGTGTGTGTTGATTCTGTATCCTGTAACTTTGCTGAATTAGTTCTAATAGCTTTTGGTGTAGTCTTCAAGATTTCCTTTATATGCTGTTATGTTATATGTACACAGAGACAATTTGGCGTTTCCCTTTCCAAATTGGATAATAACTTTTATTTTTATTTCTTGTTCAATTATTCTGGAAAAGACTTAGTACTATGTTGAATGGAAGTGGTAAGAGTGGGGCATCTTGTCCTATTCTTGATTTTAGAGGGAAAGTTTTGGGCTTTTACTTTCTAGTATGCTGTGGACTGTGGGTTTTTCATACATGCCTTATTGTGTTGAAGTACAGGAGTCTCCTTTTTCTACATTGATTTCCTGCTATATGAATGAGCACTCCTATATGAATGAGTTTTGCAGAAGTATAGTCCGAAAAAGGCTGAGGACAAAGGATAATCAGGTCTCCCTTCTTTGTTCTGTGATGCTGGGGAACATGGCATAACTCTGAGGTTGGTTTGTTTTGTTTCACTAAATTCTTCCTATTCCCAACCCCTTGCCCAGCTGAGGACAACTCCTATGGTTGGGGTAGGCTCCTGGTCAAGTACCAAGAAACTTCTTCAGGGCTTCTCACAACCATCTGACAGGAAATAGGATGGTGCCACTGAGGATAAGGAGTGTCCTTATCTTTGGCTCCAGGAGAGTGTGGCCTAGCTAGGTAAAGCAATCTTGACAAAGCTGAACCAGCTCCCGGGCAGCCATTTTATATAGAGCTGGATGATTAACAGCTCAACTATATAATTTATTTATTTTTATTTTTTTAAAGATCTTTTTTGATATGGACACAATATCTTTATCTATTTTCATGTGGTGCTGAGGATCGAACTCAGTGCCTCACATGTGCAAGCAAGCGCTCTACCACTGAGCTACAACCCCAGCCCCTCAACTATATGATTTATAGAAGAAGAAACAGGAGGCTTGATAGGAAGGGTGGCTTGCCAACATTATTAGCAAGGTCATGTTGGAGCCAGGACTCAAACCTGTACCCTCCCTCTGATTTCCAGTTCAGTATGCATTCTGTCATGCTGAAATCTCTCTTCCCTTCTCAGTGGTGCCACCTCCATCTCATCCTGTGCCCAATTCTACCTTGTAGACTCCCTATGAGCAGACCTTGAACATTCTCATTGTATATGGATTCAACTTTGTTCCCTCAATCCAATTTATATGTTGAAGTCCTAAACACCAAGTACTTAGCATGTGACCTAATTCAGACATAGGCTCACAGTAGAGGTGATTAGTTAAGATGAAGTCATACTGGATTAGAGTTGGGCCTCCGATCTAGTATGACTGGTATCATTATACAGAGGGAAATTGGGAGATAGACCTGCACACAGGAAGGACATTATGGGAAGAGGAAGGTAGAGTCTGAAATGATACATCTAGGAACCAAAGAATTCCAAAGATTTCCAGTAAACCACTAGAAGCTAGAAGATAGTCATGGAACAGATTTATCATTCATGGTTCTCTAAAGAACCAACCTTGCTGAGACCTTGATTTTGAATTTGTAGCCTTCTGAACTGAGAGAGAATAGATTTTTGTTGTTCTGAGTCACACAGTTGCAGTTATTTTGTTACAGCAGCTCTAGCAAACTGAAACAGGCTATCCCAAAGACCTTTGTGCCTTGTCCTGGCAAGAGTTTCACAATGCTGACAGGGTCACTTTATCTGACAGGGCAATAGACAATGGGGTCAAATTTAACAGATTATTACCCAAGGCCTTGATCCTAAGCCCATCAGAGTTTCCCAATTCTAGTAGCCTCACTGTTCCTTGAAAAACCAATGCAAAATTGTACCCTCTGGTGATAACACAATTAAATGGTTTCATCTCAGGCTGAGTCTCCAATGATACAAGTGAAGCCAAATCAGTGATAAGAATTTCTTTTTTTGAGAATTAAGAAACAAGAAAACCTCTAAGTTCAGAATCTGTAAATATGCTATATCCAAAATATTTACCCGTTGCTGAAAAATACACATAAAGACATGTGTGTATAATATATAATATATGGAAATACATATGCAATACATATTTGTTTTATATAAAAATGTACATACATCTGCATCCTGAATTTGATCTATTTTTAGCATTGCCACTTAAACTTTTCTCCACAATGTTTATCATACAAAGAAATAGTGATTGTTAATGTGTTCTGTCTTGCTTTAAGACTTTTCTTGGCCAAATTCTTTGGACCTTAGGAAAATGTTAAAAGAGTATCCAGATACACATATAAAAGTACTTACCAAGGAACATTTCAATAACAGATGCCTTCATAGTGAGAACAACAATCCCCATAAATATCAAAATGGCACCCTGGGGAGAAAGAAACAATAACATCGTCATGTTTCAGCCAGGAGTCCTGAATTGGAAGCACGCGGGGATAGGCTGTGTCATTGTGCATCAGCTCTGGAGTCTTAGAATTCCACGCTTGGGCTCTCCATACGCAGGCCTGCAACAGTGGTTCTGGTACCCAGGGAAGACCCAGCCCAGCCACCAGCCTCTGATTCTTCAGACATTTGGTCTTTACATAGAAGTGAAGAGGAAACAACTTTGCAATTTTGAGAGTGTTTAACCAGTCTCCAAATGTGGACCATACCCACATTTATGGTGTTGAGAGAACATTTTTAGATTACAAATAAATCATTCATTCAATAAATATTTATTAAGCTTCTATTATAGGGCTAAGTTTTGTTAGGAAGAAGGTGATAAAATTGAATTAAAAAACAGTTCTCACTCTTAAAAGACTTACAGTTTTAATAGAGATGGAAAAACATTCATGGACAAAAATAATAGCAACATTAGAAAGTAGAAAAGAGTTTTAAGGTCCCATAAGGAGTTGAGAGGGAAAGTTTATAGAGCAGTGGTTCTCACACTTTGCTGAACATTAGCATCAACTGGGAATTTTTAAAAATCACAGGCAGCACCCAGACCAATGGAATCAGAATCCCTTGAGGTCTAGGCATTATACTTTTAAAAAACTCAGATAATTTCAATCTGTAGCCAAGTTCAAGAACCAGCATATCAGAGTATGGCTTCTCTTGATGTGAATACTAATCGTGTGGTGATCTTATTAAAATGCAGACTCTAATCCAGTAGATCTGGGGCCCTGTTAGAGATGCCCCAAGGGGCCAAGAATTTTAAAGAAGGGACAGAATATGTCAAGCAGGAGAACAAGAGAAAGCCTCATGGAGGTGTAAAAATTGGCTGGACTGGGAAGAATTAGTAGAGTTTAAATATTCAGAAATAGGGAGAAGAGGCACCAAATGAGGAACAAACATCTAGAGAGTCCCAGGGGTTGGAAAGTACAGTGGATGTGAAGATGCCATTAATTTATAAGTGATTCCCCTTCAGTTAAGGCTGTAAGGAAACCCTCCAAGGGTTACGAACATTACCATTAATTGAGCACGTTGTATGCACTCTATATTGTCTTGATGATCCTCACTGAATGGATGAGGAAACTAAGAGTTAAAGAAGTTAAATGACATAACTGTGGTACATGGCAGTAAGTGGGATTGGAACAGGAGTGGGAGTAGGTGGGAGGGGTCTGCCCTGGACACAGATGATAAGGGAGAACATTGCAGTGACTCCGATGACTTAAAGTTGATCTGCTTTCTATTAACTTTGTGAACTAGTGATTTTAAACACTATTGATGACTATAGCCCCTCCCCCAGTGTCACTGCTGTGTGGCCTAAAGCTGACCTTCACAGACTTACACTCTGTTTTGCCTGCTGGTGTGCTGGTGAATTCACTCTCTGAAAAGAAATGTTTTAAAAGCCCTGATTTGTACAGTTTGCACATTTTTTTTGTGGTGTAAATCCTCCTACAATGACTGATTTTGAAGCCACTAAAGGAATACCTATTGAGTGGGAGGTTTGGAAAGAGGTGAGTACAATCTGGTCCTAGCTGGGTCCAAAATAAGCTTACATCCAATATTTAGAGGAGGTGCTATGAAAGGTTCATTAGCTAAAAGCAATTGCTAGATTACAGCTGAAGTACTATTATAAGTACCTGATGCAAGGAACTTAAATAAAACTGTTAAGTGTATGAAAGGTTTATTACAAATGATTAAATTAAGCATAAAGAAACACCCAAACAGGGGCTGAGGTTGTGGCTCAGTGGTAGTGCGCTTGCCTAGCATGTGTGAGGCACTGGGTTTGATTCTCAGCACTGCATATAAATAAATAAATAAAAAGGTCCATTGACAACTAAAAAAGTATCTAAAAAACACCCAAACACCCAAACAACATTGGATCACTTTGTTCACTTCAAGTGACAATTGCAATGTGTTACCTGTTATGATAGTTCACCACAGGTTAAGTAATAGACTAGTAATGATCATTAGTTACACAATAAAAAAATAAAATCATATAAACAATCTATTTGGCAATTTGATGCTTAAACAGCTGGGTTATGTTTTTGGAAACAGTGTGATAACAAGTCATGTTTCCCTTTTATTAATTTGAGAAACTCCTGAACAAGGTACATGTCTCCAGGTCAAAAGGTCCAACTTTCCTATCAGATAGATGCGGAATGCTAGCTCCCCTACTGGTCCCCATAGTCAGCCCCAGTGCATACAGCACTACAGATTTCCCCTGAGGCATTCTGCCTCCTCTCTCTCTCTCTCTCTCTCTCTCTCTCTCTCTCTCTCTCTCTCTCTCTTTCTCTCTCTGTCTCACCTCATGTAATCTCAACCACCAAGCCTGCTGCTCTATGTTTATTCATACCCTATCCATAACCTGACCATTTTCCATCCTCTTTACCTGCTCCAGGCCACAACCTGGCCACCTGGATCATTGCTATTAGCCTCCTCATATTAGGTTTCCTCCTTCATCTGCCCTCCCCAGGCCAGTCACAGCATCTTCTGCTGAGAACGCTACATGCCTACCCACCTTACTAGGAAGAAAAGTCAAAGTCTTTACAGACAGCACTAGACCCTACTTGATTTGGAGACCCATCAATCCTTCTGAGCTCCTTTCCCTGTGTTGTTCCTATCACCTATTAAGCCCCAGCCACCCTGGCCTCTTGGCCATTTCTAGAACATGCCTCTGACCTCAGGTTTCTGAGCTTATTGTAGTACTACTGTTTCCTCTGCCTGGATGTTGTTTTCCCAGATGAGTCATGACTTGCTCCCTCATTTTTTTTTTCCAGTCCTCTCTTTAATATTACCTTCTTATGAGATATCCCCTAATCACCCAACTTAAAGTCATAATCACCCTCTTGCCTGCCACCAACAGGTATATCCTATCCTTTCCCACTCTCTATTTCTCCATGTCATTCATCACCTCCAACATACTCTATAATTTACTTATTTTATTTGTCCACTGTTTTGTCCCTACCAGGAGCAGGAATATTTATTCGATTTTTTTTAAGTTCTTAGTAAATACATGTTGGATCAGTAACTAAGGGTTTAACTCTTTCTCCGGGATGGATGGGAGATAGGAAAATAAACAAACAAAAAGCGGGTGTGTGTGTGTGCCTTCTTGTGAATACACTGCAGCTACTGAATCATACACTTAACAAGGTGCATTTTCTAGTATGTGAGTTATTTATAATAAAAATAAGTTAATAAAACATTGTTGATAGCCAACAACTAACCCAAAAGGAAGATGAAGAGTGGATAGGAGTGCTTTCAGAGCTGCCCTGCAATTTTAGAAGTCACAATGGACATGACCTTTACGTGGTGGGATGGATGGATAAGGACCAAGTAGATTCCAGGAAACTCTCTAACCTCAGAGGAATTATCACCCGAGTCTAACCAGCTCATCAGCAGTGGAAAGTGACCAGAATCATGCTGGTGTCTTGGAACCAGAATGCTTTGGGTTTCTTTCTCACCAGCAGTTTCTCTCCTTCTTCGTCCATTTATACACACACTTGAAACATAAATATGCCTTTTGAAATGTGTGGGAAAAACTCAAACCACCTTTCAGGCTTCCCAGAGGCTGGGGCTGAGGACTCCTGGCAATGTCATCAGGCCACTTCTGCAGGTGGTTCCATGTCCTGGAGTCATGGAGTCCACAGAAATGGAGGAACCTAAATCGTTCATGTGCTCATCTAGGTTCTAACAAAAAAAACAAACAATAGGAACTTCTAAAAGAATATGTTAGTGATTCATAAATTTATGGATTGTTCTTTGAGATGTAATATAAAGAATCCTGAATATGAAGTTCTGGTGAGACAAATGAAGCCTGGTTGTGAAAGAAAAAAAAATATACAATTAGTTTAAGTAGATTAGTGGAGACAATTTAATTAGCTCTCATTGCCCAGAGTTAGATGAGAGGAAGTTGGTAATAAATAATAATAGTACCTAATATTTATAGAGTCCTTCATGGTGTTTTAAATAAGGAAACTTCATGTGCATTTCTGGAATGCAGGCTCCATTTGTTTCTCTTGCTTACTGTTCAGTTTCTAAAACTCAAAATACTGCTTGGGGGGGGCAACCACTCATGTTTGTTGAGAAAAGGAACAAATGCAAATTTGTCCTTCACAGTAATCCTGTGCCAGTGTGGAGGCTTGGGTCAGAATTCCCACTTTAAAGATAAGGAAGCCAAGGTCTGCGGCAGGTAGAGGACTTATTCAAGGTTAGGAATCAGAAACAGAGAGTTCAGGGACTTTGCCCAAGCTCACAAGGCTGGAAAGAAGACAAGAGAATTCAGGCCAGCATTCCCAGTCCCAAAGCCCTGCACTTCTGCCGGCCACAGCTGTTCCATGACAAGCAAATACACTTCACTTACATTCTGATTCAACTGGACTGCGGTAGTATCAACATTGTTTTAGAGCATCCCCAGAGACTCCATGCGCAGCCATTATCGAAACCTTCTGCTGTTAAGGGCACCATGAAGGCCACAAGGGTGAATGACACTGGGCCGTGGGGGCAGGGACTCAAAGGGGCTTGAATTTATTAAACTGGCAGGTTGGAAAATAATGAAAGATTGGTGAGGAAAGGACAGGACCCAGGGACAGAGGAGCTTCAGGAACTGGGAGTTGCTCAGCCAGGCACGGAGAGGACTGAGCCTGTTAGAGAGGAAGGAAGGGGCCCTGTCGGCCTTGAATGTCATGCCTGAAGAATGTGAGATTGATCCTTTAGGCAATAGGGAGACATGGAAGGCTTAAGAATTATTTTTGCATTCATCATTTTTAATAAGCCCCCTAGAGGCCTACTTCAGCCACTCACTTGGAAAAAATCTGCCCTGGTGGACGTGTAGGATTTATGTTAATGTTGGTGTTTGTCTAATCTAGGAAGTTGCATGGGGGAGCACCCAACCATACTGTGTCCACGGGGTGGAAAGAGCCGGTATCCATCTGGAAACATTTA